TTATTTCAGTTGGGTCTGTTGTAATGTCCCCCATTTCATTTCTTATTTGGGTTATTTGTGTCCTCTCCTGTTTTTCTTTTGTCAGTCTGGCCAACACTGATTTGATTTTTAATTTAAAAATATTCAGTTTAGTTTTTATCAGTGTTTGACAAGTTGACTTGTACTAGGCCCTTGACAGAGCAGAAAGACCAAACTCGTTCTATTGAGTCTCAATCATATGCTCTGAATTTCTAATGCCTTGTATTTAGCTGATAAGAGACTACTTAATTTCTTTGTTCCTGATTGTGATTTAAACCTCTGTTTACATTATTAAATTCAGGAAAGTGTTTAAAACAGAGGATTACACTTCTAGCTGAGACGTGACAAACCTTTTTTTTTTTAAATTTTTTTCCCATACAAAATTTATACATACATTGTTATGTGACCCTAATTGCTCTCCCCATACTCTGATAGCACACTCGTCCTTTCCACCCGAGTCTCCATTTCCATTCAACCAGCTCCTAACCCTCTCTGCCTTCCATCTCACCTCCATACAGAAGCTGCCTGTTTAGTCTCTTGTATCTACTTGAGCTAAGAGGTACATTCCTCACAAGTATCACTTTATGTCCCACAGTCCAGTCCAATTCCTGAGAAGTGACAAACCTTTAAGAAGCAAACTTGTACGTGGAAACATTCATAAACAAAACTTTTTTCTACGTTTAAGAGTTACCAGCACGTTAAAAACACTCCAGGCCTCTATGAGTAAAGCCAGTTTTAATTATCTATGCTTTCCTATCAATAAAATACTAAAAGTGCTAGCGAAGTTAAAACTAACAAACAAAAATCTGAGATATAAAAGGGGGAAAGTGACTGGTTAAGCTGTTACTGATCCCTGAGTCTTGAAACTATAGAGACTTGCTTTACCAGGCAGTAAAATGGTCATTCTAGAGTTGCAAGCTAAACAGATCAAATAAAGTCTTGTGTGCATATGACTCATTTGGGTAATTACACAGCAATTTTCAGATATGGCCCATGTTAGGATTTCAAAAGCAGCTGACTGTAAAAATTAGTTCCAACAACAAAATGGTCAACCATGGACTGCAGGTCAATATTACATGTAAGACATAGCTTGTCAACCTTTAAGAAAACTATTTCCATTTTAACCACCTTCCCACTACTTATAAAGAATCACAGCAGTCAGCATGCCCTAATCCCATTTTTCCATCACTGAACTTTACACTCTATAACACAAATCTTGAGGAACTCCTCATAGAAAAGTTGGAGCCTCTTCCCACCAGTGATCAAAACCATACAAACCTCTGTCAGTTGCTTCAGTTGGCGTTTGTTTGCACTTAGTTCTTCTGCTAGGTCATTCTTTTTCACTTGTAGTTCACAGATTTCCTTTCTTAATGGAGTCACTAGTTCATAGAACCGAATCTTAAAAAAAAAAAAAAGTCAACTTAATAAGCAGTCTTGAAATCTAAAATATAATTAAAATTTGACAATGTACAGTAATCTCGACTACCAGCAATAAAAGGGAGTGTCTACAAAACTAAACCAAGACAGTTGTTAATTGACCCAGACCACTAATACTTTATTAAGTCTTAATGTTCGATTCAATTTCCTCCAGATCAGATTATCTGTAACTCCCCAACCCTGTCACCATCTCCCTTTCCTCTCTTCTACCAACACTCCATTTACTACTCCTCATCCCCTACTATGGCTCACTCCACACTATCTGCTTGTCGTTTCCTGAACGTATGAAGCGTTCAAGGGTTTTGCTCTTGCTGTTTCCCCTGCAAGAAAACTTCTTCCCACATAAATGCATGGCTCATGCTTTCACTTCCTTCAGGTCTCTGATCAAATGGCACCTTATCAGTAAAACCTTGCTCTAGTCCCTTACCCCAATTTAAGATAGCACCCTCATCCAGCACTAGCTATTCTTCATTCCAGCTTTTTCCTCCATAGCACTTATAATAAATCACATTCTACATATGTATTTTTTAAATTTATTGTGCTTTAGGTGAAAGTTTACTGCAAATTAGTTTCTCATTAAAAAATTTATAAACAAATTGTTTTGTGACATTGGTTGCAATTCAAACACTGTGTCAGCACTCTCCCCCTTTCCCTGTACATGCCGGGTTCCCTGTGTCCCTTTGTCCAGGTTTCCTGTCCCTTCCCGCCTTCTTGTCTTTGTTTTTGGGTGGGTGTTGCTCATTAGGTCTTGTATACTTGACTGAACTAAGAAGCACGTTCCTCACGTATGTTACTGCTTATTTTATAGGTCTAGTATTTGGCTCAAAGGTGGACTTCGGGAGTGGCTTCAGTTCTGAGCTAGCAGGGTATCCCAGGGCCATAGTCTCAGGGATTCCTCCTCCAGTCTCTGTCAGACCAGTTAGTCTTTTTTTTTTTTTTTTTTTTTGTGGATTTGAATTTTGTTCTACTTTTTTCTCCTGCTCTGTCCAGAACCCTCTACTGTAATTCCTGTCAGAGAAGTTGGTAGTGGTAACTGGGCACCATCTAGTTCTTCTGGGCTCAGGCTGGTGGAGGCTGTGGTTCATGTGGTTCATTAGTCCTTTGGACTAATATTTTCCCTGTGTCTTTCGTTCTCTTCATTTTCCTTTACTGCGAATGTGATCGGGAGCATTTCCTCATGTGTCTGTTAGCTGCCTGAATTTCTTCTTTGGTGAAGTATCTGTTCATATCCTTTGCCCATTTTTTAACTGGATTATTTGTCTTTTTATTGAGGTGTTGAAGTATTCTATAGAATTTAGAGATTAGATCCTTGCTAGAAATGCTGTAGCTAAAAAATTTTTCCCAGTCTGTAGGTTCTCTTCTTATCCTTTTGGTGAAGTCTTTTAATGAGCATTAAGTGTTTAATTTTTAGGAGTTCCTAGTTATCTAGTGTATCTTCTGGTGTTTGTACATCATTAGTTATGGTTTGTATTCTATTTATGCCATGTATCAGGGCCCCTAGCACTGTCCCTATTTTTTCTTTCATGATCTTTATAATTTTAAGTTTTATCTTTAAGTCTTTGATCCATTTTGAGTTAGCTTTTGTGTATGGTATGAGGTATGGGTCTCGTTTCATTTTTTACAGCCAGACATCCGGTTTTGCCATCATTTGTTAAAAAGACTGTCTTTTCTCCATTTAATGGACTTTGGTCCTTTTCAAAGATTTGGATTTACATTTGGGTTCTCAATTCTGTTCCACTGGTGTATGTGTCTGTCGCTGTACCAGTACCAGGCTGCTTTGGCTACTGTGGCTGTATAGTAGGTTCTGAGATCAGGTAGTGTGAGGCCTCCTACTTTGTTCTTTTTCTTCAATAATGCTTTGCTTATCTGGGGCCTCTTTCCTTTCTATATAAAGTTGGTGATAAATTTTTCCATCTTGTTGAAAAATGCTGTTGGTATTTGGATCAGGATTGCATTATATCTATAGATCGCTTTGGGTAGGACTGACATTTTCAGTGTTGCGTCTTCCTATCCGTGAGTATGGTATATTTTTCCGTTTATGTGGGTCTCTCTTGGTTTCTTGAAATAGGGTTTGTAGTTTTCTTTGTACAGGTTTTTTACACCCTAGGTTAGAGTTATTCCTAAGTATTTTATCTTTTTAGGGGTATTATAAACAGTATTGTTTTCCTGATTTCCTTTTTGAAGTTCTCTTTGTTGGTGCATTCTACATATTCTACTTTTAATTTATTGTCTGTGTTGCTGTACTAGAATGTAAGCTCCATGAAGGCAGGAATTTTTGTCTTGTTTGTCTATTGCTCTATCTCCAAGGCCTAAATATATGATAAGCACTTAATAAATATTTGATGAATGAAGAGATGAAGTTTACTTTTCTTTTTCTTTACAGTGAGATAAGCATAGAAATCTTTTTTTTTTTTTAAATCACACTTTAGGTCAAAGTTTACAGAGAAAATTAGTTTGTCATTAAACAATTAATACACAAGTTGTTTTATAACATTGGTTGCCAATCCCATAATGCGTCAACACTCTCCCCTTCTCTACCTTGGGTTCCCTGTTTCCATTCGCCCAGTTATCTTGTCTCTTCCTTTCTTCTCGTCTTTGTTTTTGTGCTGGTATGCCCACTTAGTCTCGTATACATGATTGAACTATGAAGTATGTTTCTCATGTGTGTTATTGTTTACCCTATAGACCTGTCTAATCTTTGTCTGAAGGGTAAACCACAGTAGTAACTTCATTACTGAGTTAAAAGGGTGTCCAGAGGCCATACTCTTGGGGTAAAATTTACTTTTTATTCTCATTTTAGGCTCTTGGTGTATTGCAACCATTACAGTGTAAGGGATAATCAAGATGAATCAAGAGGTAGCTTTCACATCACTACTTCCATTCAGTTCAGATCTCTCTTCCCATTCATAATTCCCTCAGGGGAATTTTTCTTCCCTAAACAGTGAAGTGTTTCATCTAATAAAGTTCTATGAAACTAGGATGTCATCAGCAAATTAGGATAGAAGGCAATTAGGGACTATTTCTTATACAGGCATAGAATCTGAAACCCCTCAGTATATTACCATATTGCAACAGAGTACCATATCTGGTAAGAGTCAAGTCCTAACACTTGCCTAGTCCTTAGTCCTAAGACTAGTGTTTAACACATTAATGAATCTGCACATAATTAACTAGTTGGGATAATACTGTCTGTGAAAACAAAAGATAGGATAAGGAATATTAACAAACTGGAAAGCAAAAATATATATAATTACCACCAATGGGATACTTGATACCTACTATGGATAAATCCTCAGTGACTGCCCCTGGAACATTTAACTTGCTTTGGACAGCACACTTTGGGCAGAAGAGCTATATTTGAACTATTTAAATAAAAATAAATAAATAAACAGCTAGACAAAAAAGTAATACTTCATTTTATAGGAAATCACAAATCTGGAAATAATATCCAAATGAGAACTAAGAGTAGCAACCACCACACCAACAAAAATAATAGGTAACATTTATTACGTGTTTACTATACTCTAAGCACTATCCTAAGCATTTTATATTTATATACACATTCTTAATCTTCACAATTACCCTAAAAGAAAAGCCCTGTTATTATTACTGACCTTTCGTAGATGAAAAAACTTGAACATCTCAGGATGAAATGACACCTACATATTACAAACCAGCAGTTCTCAGTATGTGGTCTGGGGACCCCCAGGAGGCTCCCAGGACTCATTCAGGCGGTCCAGAAGATCAAAACTACTTTCAGCATTACAGTAAGGTGCTTTTTATCTGTTTCACTCTCATTCTCTCATGATTGTACAGTGGAGTCTGCCAGAGGCTGCATAATGTGTGATGATGTCATTGCTCTGAAGGCCAATATAACATGTGCCTGTGTATTCTTGTGTTTTAAAAATTCGTTTTAATTTCTAATATGGTAAATATTGACAGATATTACCCATGTAAAACAAAAGTTCTTTGAAATTCTCAATACTTTTTAGAGGGTAAAGGGGTCCTGACACCAAGATATTTGAGACCACTGCCATAGATTAATCCTATAAACATTTAAAAAGAGATTCACAGGAAGTTGCAAAAGCATCCTGTATGTCTTTCAACCAGTTACTCCCAATGGATACATTTTACATACCTACAATACAATCTCAAAACCAGGAAATTGATATTGGTATAATGTGTGGGTATATCTCCAGCCATTTTATCACATGTAGATTCCTCTAACCACCATCATTACAATCAAGATCCTGAACTAGTCTATCGCCAGAAACATCTCCTTCCTGCTATCCCTTTTTAATCACACCTATTCGTCGCTCTTCCACTATCCCTAACCCCTGGCAACCACTAATCTATTCTTTATAATTTTTCATTTTGAGAATGTTATATAAATGGAATCATATAGAATTTTGAGACTAGCCTTTTTACTTAGCATTAATACCCAGAGATCCACTCAAGTTGTTGCTCTTCTTCAGTAATTTTAAATAAAATTTTATAATATTCTTTATGAAGAGTTTATATGTATTTAACAGGCTTATTTTGAGGTACTTGATGTTTTGTGTTGTGATTATAAATATTTTATAAAATTACATCTTCTAACAATTGGTTGCTGGTAGATAGAAATACATGTTGAAAGAGTGAATCATGTAGTTGAGAATACTAGCCTAGAATGACCAACACCAGTATACAGTCTACTAAAATTACTAGACTTAAAAAAAAGAAAGGGAGAAAAATATTTTTTTCCATATCTAGGCAAAAAGCAAGTGACTAAGGGAAAAGAAATTAGATTACTATCTAATTATTTGACAGCAATGTTTTAGAAGATAGTAAAGAAAGAAAATGTAAACCAAGGATCATATATTCAGCAAAATTGACTTTCAAGTATAAAGGGTAGGGATAAACTTTATGAACTCAAGGAATTCAAGAATTCAGGGAATGTTGTCCTCCAGAGCTCTTCCTTAGCAAATTACTACAGTCCAAGCATCAGATAACCAAAATGACCAGGCAGGAATTGACATAAAGACCTACAGATTTTAAAGAAACAGTTTCTTTTTAACCAATAGTTACTTATACAATTAAGACATTTTAAATGAGAGTTCAAAGGAAGAGAGTGTAGGATGTAATTGCTATAAGCTCAAACAAGATATAGTACAACTATAAAAAAAGCAGGAGGAAGATAAAGTAAGTGACTACTTATGGGATATTCTAATTCCATCATCCCCTGTGTCCTTGAGAACTAGAATTCATGGTGTGGAAGAAAAAGATTTAGATGTAGTAGAAAAGAAAATAAGTAAAACCTTGCAGAATTTAATTTGAATTAGAGGTATCAACATGAACTCAAAAGGTATTTTATCTTTTAAAAATACACATACACACATGCATATTCCTAACTTTGTTCAATGACAGTGACTAGTCCAGTAGCAATGATCCCTACTGCCCATAAGAAGGTCTTGATATATTACTTCCCACCGAAGAAGCCAGGGCTTCTTAGACAAATGGCTGATTTCAGGTTTATGGCAGGAATTGTAAAAGATGAGTCTGGAAGTCTTGTTAAAGCCAGATGGACAGAAAGCTATCAAAGACTAGGAGTCATGTCAAAAGGACTCAGATGCTCACCTGAAGAGGCTCTCATTTGCCAAAGATTACAATTTAAACTTCAAAAAGTGTAACTGCAACTGACTGAAACCCATAAACGTTCAAATTCATGAGTCCATAAGGATGTGAACTCGTAAGGATATAGATATTCACAAAAATAAGTGTACATATAAACATTTGCATTTACACATATTTACATAATACAAATGTGTACAAATAGAAATAAATATATTAATTACATATACTATATTAAAAATAAATCTAACATCTTTGGGGTTTGCTAGGGAACCAATTCAGATAAACAGAGGGAAAGAATCAAGCATTTATCCTGCCTTTCCAACATAAACTATACAACTTGGTAACCAAACAACAGATGAGGGAAGCATCTCTTCACTTCAGAATTCCAACTAATAAATAAAAAAGAAATTAAAGAATTAGAATATTACTGTTTAGAAACCCCTAATTAATTAATGTATTTAGGTATTAGGCATCAATAGCTGTTAACATCACAACAAAAAAGAGACAAGCAGGTATTATTTGCCTCCTGATGAAAGAACTCAACACCACAAATAATCTTGCCAAAGGTACCAAATGTTAGTGTGTTCGAGTTCTAGATCCAGTTGCCAATTTGAAGGAAATACAGAGAACAAAGGAATATGCTGAACTACACCAAGAATATGTAGTCATAAAATCCACAATGTGGGAAACCCTAAGTCTGGGTTCTTCAACAGACAAAATGGATGGAATATAAAGGAAAGGAGACAAAACTTGCAGATTTTAGAGAAACTTAACAGACATATCACTTTTTTAAAAAGATGAACAAAACTACAGTGTTTCAGTTTACAATCTTGGGTGACAAAACTGTAAAGAAATGATTGCTATAAAAGTCAGGATTATGTTTATTTTTAGGGGAAGAACGAGAGTTTTGACTACAACAGAGAATACGGGTGGCCTGAGGTGGTTAGAAAAGTTCTATTTTTTTGACCCAAGTAATAGTTAAAAGGGTGTTCACTCCGTTACCTCTTTAAGATATACATTAATTTTGTGAAGGTCTCTACCATTTTAGCATAAAAAGATTAAAAAATTAAATTGAAATGGAAATACAGAAAACACAAGATAATCCATTTTCAAGTTAAAGATTTATATATGCTGACATATATCCATACACATATGTTTGTATGTGAAATTGATTACTTCTTGGGAGTGGGACTGGGAAGGACTAAATGAAGCACGTCTACTTTAAACTTCATACATTTCTGGGTTGGTTAAATTTTTTATATGTATTACTTTTGTTACTGAAAAACCAATAATGTTTAGTCTCTGATATAGAACCTAGAGACATGTCAAGTTGGAGGAGTTAATTCCTGGGTAAACGGTCTCTATGGAATAATTTCAGTTTAACCTTGAATGAGGAACCATGCAGTATAAAAACCTCCAAACAGATACTAAAGAGAGGAGGTCCATAATCAGTTTGCCTCTAAGTATTTCCTGATTTGTCCAAGTTTCAGTTGGGATTGTTTGGTTCTAAAGACCAGAGTTCCACTCAGGCTAATCAAATGAAAGGAATGTTTATTAAAAGCATAAATGTGTGCTACACCTAGAAAATCATCAGGAACTGAGGCAAATGTATGGACAAGCTATTTTATCTTTTTTCTAGTAGTATACCCCACGGTTTCTCCTTGTATACCAAAAAACCACAAAACCCATTGCCGTCGAGTTGATTCTGTCTCATAGCAACCCTACAGGACAAAGTAGAACTGCCCCATCGGATTTCTAAGGAGCAGCTGTTGGATTCAAATGGCCCACCTTTTGGTTAGCAGCCTGAACTCGTAACTACTGCATCACCAGTCCCTGTAAACATATTCTATCCTCTGCTCTGTAAGACCCGGCCCACTTTTTCCCTTTAAGGATACTGGGGAAAATGAATGACCTTCATCAGATCTTCTAGGGAACATGCTAATTGCCTAGACAAGACAACCTATCCATAAACTGCTTTTAACTATCTAGATGTAACTGGTCTGTCTAGATTGCTAATTTAAATAAAATTGGAATTTATGGATTTATGGGGCATGGTTCATTGGGAGGAGCCCTGATGGCACAGTGGTTAAAGCGCTCGGCTGCCAATCAAAAGGTCAGTGGTTTGAACCCACCAGCCACTCTGCGGGAGAAAGATGTGGCGGTCTGTTTCCATTAAGATTACAGCCTCGGCAACCCTATGGGGCAGTTCTACTTTGTCCTATAGGGTTGCTATGAGTTGGAATTGACTCGATTGCAGTGGGTTTCGGTTTTGGATTCATTGGAAAACAAGAAACTAATGTAAGCATTTCCTATCTTTGAATTAAAAGAATATCAAAACAGAGGAGCTCTGAAATCAAAATGTTTCAACAATCTAACCATTCCCCACAACATCCTTCAATCTGTAGTCCAACCCCCTTAGACATATCCTGGTGGTGGCAAATACTTTCATTTAGATGGCACATTTCATCTCCTTTAGCATCCCAAAAGCTTCAACAGCCATGTTGTTACTTGCCATCGAGTTATTTCCGACTCATGGTGAACCCATGTGTACAGAGTAGAATAGCATTCCATGGGATTTTCAAGGTTGCAACCTTTCAGAAGCAGACTGCCACACCAGGCATGTCTTCTGAGGTGCCTCTGGGTGGGTTCAAACCACTAACCTTTCAGTTCGTAGTTGAACGCTTAACCATGGGCACCATCCAGGGATCCTATGATAGTTATACCACCAGTTTATGGTATAATTATTCATTTCTATAGGCTATGCAGCTACTAACTTCAGAGCCCTATCTATTACTTGACTTTAGAGATCAATGTTCAAAATCATTTAAAATTTGGTGATCAGAACACCACTTAACATCTTTAGACCAGGGCCATAAAATAATTCATCAATTGGGTATTCCAAAAGTATCCAGAAAGCTACAAGGGCAACCATACAAATTACAAAAATTTAGTCTGAAAATAAATGAAGAATTGTTTTTTTTTTAAGTGATACACAGTACTTACAGATACATATTCAGGAATAGAAAGCTGATCTTCAGGGAAAGCTTTTAGTTTCATATATTGCTCTTCTGCCAACTCGAAGTCACGCAAATTTCGACGAATATCTCCAGCCTTCTCTCTTAGCTGAAGATTTGTCTCTTCTAGTTGTTTCTGTCTCAATAAGATAGTTTCCATTTCTTGTTTCAATAGTTCTTGATATTTTCTATATTAAGAGAGAATTTATAGTAAACTTAAAAACTCTTTGAGATTTAATTTTGTCAACATTTCTTTTTTGCAAAAACATAAAATTCAGACATGAGAAGCCCAACAGAATTTTTAACTCTAGCTAAAGGCTTATTTACTTAATTAGTTGAACATGAAATAGCAATTTTATACTAATAACTACTATGCTGACACGTAAGTTATTAGAGAATTGATATTCTTAAATAATTATTTTAAAAGTTAAAATTATAAAATTATACATTTCCTCTGCTTAAGGCTTAAGTCTTTTACATCTGTTTTAGACACCACTCATTAAAGTAATTTTCATTGTCTTTATCCAGGTATTTTAAGGTATACTTCTTTGAAACGACAATACTGAACCATCATAGGGCATTTATTCAACCAATGAAGTAATGTAAACAGAAATCTGCATATATTCATCATTCTCAAAGAATACATGTAGCAGACACTGTCACTGTTGGTTATCTATCTGAAGATTTTGAGCAGGAAGTGACAATCTGATTTTTTTCCCCTCCCTACTGTATCACTCCCATCAACATACAAATACACTGTTATTTCTTTCATCTTAAAACAAATGAACAAAAAATACAACTCATGACCCATTTCACTACCTCCTCTATTTGTTCCCCCATGTAGGAAAACTTCTCAAAAGTTGTCTAATGACCACTGTCTCCAATTCCTTTCCTCTTAAACCCATGACACTCAGGTTTTTACCCTCTCTACCAAAATTTCAAATTGCTAAATCCAATGATCAATTTTTAGTCCTTTTTATGTATAACTGACTGACAACATTCGATAAAACCGATCTCTCTTTCCTTCTTGATTTACTTTCTTCATCTGGCTTCCACGACACCATACTCTTCATTTGTCTCCTTCTTTACTGGTGGCATCTACTAAGTCTTCTTTTCTGGTTTGTCTTAATGTTGGAGTCCTTGGTCTTCTTCTCTGTCTATATTCACTTCCTTGGGGAATACACCCAGTCTCATGACTTTAAATACTACCTATATTCGAATAACTCCCAGATTTATATCTCTAGGCCTGACTTCTCATATACATCCGCATGGATACCTACTAAGACAACTCTAACTTAACATGTCCCAAACTGAACTCCTGCTCTTTACCCAAAACCTATCCCACTGTGGTTTTCCTATTTTCAGTGACAGCAATTCCGTCCTTTCATCTGTTCAGGCCCAAAATGTTGCCACAATCCTTGACTTCTCTTTTTCTCATAAACTACACATCTAATCCATCAGGAAATCCTATCAGCTCTACCTTCAAAATATATTTGGAACTCAATCACTTTTTACTACCATTAGCCATCAAGAGGATTACTGTAATAGCCTCCTAACTGCCCTCTCAGTATCATTCAATCTGCTAACAAATGTTTAAAGAATTAGAGTAGAAGCCTGATTAATGAATGTAGTGTTTCTCAAAGTGTGGTCTCCAGGACAGGGTCATCAGCATCACCTGGGAACTTGGTAGAAATGCAAATACTCAGGTTCCATCCCATATCAGAGCCTTTGAAGGTAGGGCCCAGCAATCTGGTTTTAACAAATCCTCAAGGTGTTTCTGTTGGATGCTAAAGTTTGAGAACCACTGATCTAACATAATAGTGGCCAATAACTGGTCAGATAATTTCACTTAATTTAATGATTTTTTTTTAATCACTCTTTTTTATTGAACTGTTCCAAAGAATTCATGTTAGTTTTCAGAGAAACAACATCACTTCTTTGTACTCATATTTCAATTTTAAACTAAATTATGTTAGTATAATAGTAAGTACAATCGGCATAGACATATCTGACAGTAAACACCACGGGTTCCTGATGAGCACACAACTGAGCTGGAGAAAGTATACAAGTATACTAGAAGTTAACTTCAAGCCAGAGCATTCAAGGAGCCATAGGGTGCAATCAGTATGTTTTACAGAGCAAATGAAGAGAGGTTAACCCAGAGAGCAGGTTAAGTGGCAGTCAGTTTAGAGAGCTTCCACCGTCATTTATGGTTTACATACACTGGTCAATACTTGTCTGTTGACTGAATACAGAATTTGTGTGTGTGTGTGTGGGTGTGTGGGTGTGTGTGGGTGCGTGTATGTGTATGTGTATACTATATCAAGTGACCTACATTTTGCTGGTCTGGATGTAAAAATTATTATCATTTCTCACTTAAAATTTCTTTATTTTAGCTTACAATCACACGTATGAACAGGTAATGAAATTGCTTTTAGCTGTTAAATACATATTGTTGCTGTTTTTAAACTCTTCTTACCTGGCATCCTTCTGCTGAAAAGTCAATTGGTTGTCTAATCTCAATGTTAGCAGCTGCTTCTGGTGAAGTGCATCATTGAGTTTCTCTTCCAATTCTTCAATCTTAATAAAGAAAAAGACGTAAATTACATAGCCAGTTTTCAAGTTTATCATAAAGACCTACATCTAAAAAATACTAAATAAAAAAACATTTAAAAGAAACAGGTTAAAAATGAGGTTTTTTTGTTTGTTTGCAATGGTTGTCTACAAATTGCAGTCTTGCTCATACAAATGGTTTTCAAACTATAATTTGAAATTGTTCTCCTAAATGGTTTTTGCCAGCTGCCATTAACAGACTATTTTCTTCCCTTTACCCGTTCTCATTGAGAAGCTCAGTGACAACTGGAATTTTATGTTGGTGGCTTCCCTAGGTTGTTATTTCCAGCCCAGACTCCACATTTGTCCTACAAATCCATATATCAGTTTACTACTCATTGCTGTTGGGTCAATTCTGACTCATGGTAACCCCATGTGTTACAGAGAAGAATTGCTTGATAGGGTTTTCTTGGCTATAATATTTTACAGAAGCATATCACCAGGCTTTTTTTCTGTGGTGTTGCTGAATGGGTTTGAACCACCAACCTTTAGGTTAGTAGAGAAGCACAAACCATTTGCACCACCCAGGGACCTTATCTGACTACTACACATCTTCAACTGACTTACCTTATGGACAACACTATAAATGTCCATTCTGAAGATATATATGAAGCCTATTTTAAACTTTAGAGATAACAGGGAATAAACAGATGCCTTGGGATTAAAGAACTGGCCCCTCACAAAGTCTCTATCATAAATCACTTGAGAAATCCTGTCATTTTTAGCTTTAAATTTCCAATGGGTAATTTTTAAGAAGTTATGGGAACATTTAGATACGCTAATGCGACATATAAATGCTCAAAAATTAATTCGATAACAAAATATAAATTACCAAACAAAAACCTGTAAAATATGCCTTTCTAATAATACCTTCTGGTTTCAGGGACACTTTGTACAAAAATTTAGGAGATGCTGGAGATAAAGAGAAACCCTTGTGGCATAGTGGTTAAGTACTATGGCTGCTAATCAAAAGGTCAGCAGTTCGAATCCACCAGGCGCTCCTCGGAAACTCTATGGGGCAGTTCTCCTCTGTCCTACAGGGTCCCTATGAGCTGGAATTGACTCGATGGCAATGGGTTTGGTTTGGAGGTAAAGAGACTGAAACAGAAGTTCTGCTACTTGAGCATGATGTTCCCCATCAGCCTTTCTCTCAGGCAGTTCTTAGCTTTCTGCCAAAGATGCCGTGGAGCTTTACTGAAAAGGTAAGTTGAAAAAATTCTTAATGTTTTTATAAATAATCAAATCAAAGCTAGTTTTGCTTAAGTTCAATATGTGCTTATAAATATGTAGAAACCAGTGTTTCTCTTCTCTGCATCAAGTAAAGCACTCGTGAGTACCACTGAAACCATTTGCTTCTTTGTTGAAAGATACATTTTTCTAGGGAGGAAATGCTAGAATACATCAGCCTTTTCAAATATGACGACACTACTACTAGTCACGAATCAGAATGTGTGATTGCTATTAAGAAAATAAAGTTAGGCTGTTTTTTATACAGATATCGATTTCAGAAGGACTCTGCTGCAGTAGTACTGACAATGTAATTGCTTCTTTCTTTCTAATACGGCATCTTCTAGGACACGAAAAACTGAGAAGACCTGAAGCATCTGTGTGTTTCTGGTTGTTCTAACCTGACAACCACTGATTTGTTTCTGTCACTCTGATTTTGTCTTTTCTAGAATTTCATATTAAAGTGATCATGCTATATATGAAGTCTTTTGTGTCTGGCTTCTTTAACTTTGAAGATTCATCCATGCTGCTGTGTATATCACTAGTTTGTTCTTTTTTTACCACTGAGTAGAATTGCATTCTCTCTCTCTCTCTCCATGTATATATATATATATATATATATGCACAATTTGTTTTATCTATTTACCAGTTTTTAGCTATTTTGAAGCAAGCTGGTATGAACATTCACATAGGAATCTTTGTGAATTTCCAGAGTAGTTGCACCATTTTGCATTACCCCTCTAATGAGTTGCAGCTGCTTCATATCTTTGCAACGCTTTTTAATGTCTGTCTTTAACTTTAGCCATTCTACAGGTACATAGCAGTACTACACAGTGGTTTTAATTTGCATTTCCCTAATGACTAATGAAAAGAGTCATGGTGGTGAAACGTTTAAGCACTCAGCTGCTAACAGAAAGGTTGGTGGTTTAAACCCACCAGGTGGCTCCATAGGAGAAAGACTTGGGGATCTGCTTCCATAAAGATTGTTGTTGTGTACCACAGAGTCGATTTTCAACTCTTAACAACCCTATATGACAGAGGAGAACCTCCCCATAGGATAGAACTGCCCCAATAAACTTCTCTTTCTACATTAGAAACTTCTATAAGTTTCATAGTTCTTAGATCTAATGTCCAAGTCTATGGTCCATTCTGAGCTAATTTTTGTAAAAGGTGTAAGGGTAGAGGTTCATCTTTTGGCATATGGATATCCAATAGTTGCAGCACATCCATTTAAAAGATTTTTCTTTCTTGATTTGAATGATCAATCTGTTGAGGGTCAACTGATGATATAAATATGGGTTCATCTGGGACTCTTTTAGTCTGTTCCATTCATCTATATGTCAATCATTATACCAATACCAAACCTTCTTGATTACTGCAGCTTTACAGTATGTCTTGAAATCATGTAGTGCAAATCTTCCAACTTTGTTATTTTTCAAAATTATTTTGGGTATTCTAGGTCCTTTGGCCAACCATATAAATTCTCCAATAAGCCTGTCAATGTCTACAAAAGAACCTGCTGGGATTTTGACTGGGATTACATTCAATGTATAGATCAATTTAGGGAGAATTGACACCTTAACAACGTTGAGTCTTCTAATCCTGAAAATGCTGTATGTCTCCTTTACTTAGGTCTTTATAAATCTCCCTCAGCAATATTTTGTAATTTTCAACATACATGTATTATATACATTTTGTTAAACTTATCCCTAAACACTTTATGATTTTTTATGCTATTTAAATTTCCAATTGTCTGATGCTAATATATGGTAATGCAACTGATTTTTGTATATTGACCTTGCATCCTGCAATCTTGCTGAAGCCACTAATTAGTTTTAGCAGCTTTTTAAATAAATCCTGGAGGATCCTGTACATAGACATCATGTCATCTGTGAATAAAGAGAGTTTTAACTCTTCCTTTCCACCCTGTATCATTTTTCGTGCGATGCAATTTTAATAAAAATTCCAGCAGGGATTTTTGTAGACCTTGACAAGCTGGTTCAAAATGTATATGGAAGATGCTGAAGAAGGAAAAGTGAAACAGATGTTGGATAACAGAAAAATATACTGTGGCAGAGACTGGTTAGATGTTCGCCAAACCCATTCTGTCTTCCTGAGCACATAGCCAAATTGTCTTCCCAAACCCATTTTCATTTAGGTGGAACCATGTGACTAGTTTTTGCCAACGGAATGTGGTTGGAAAAAGCTAGTTATAATTTTAGACAGCTAAAAGCAGATAAGCTTTCCTCATGCTCACTCTCTCTTTTCCTTCCCTGATGGCTCTGGAGGCCATATGTCAAAGATGACAACAATATCATCAAAGATGGAAGGTCTTGATCTAGGAGTCATCACTTGGAGAAGAGCCACCAAAGAGGGTGTCTGGAACATACCCCCATTGGTCTTTGTGTGAATAAGAAATAAACTCAATGAGATACGGTGTTTGTTACATCAGACAGCCTATCTTGACTTTTACCATCACTGTAAAGAGAAAAGCCCTAATGACATTCTTCTTTCGACCATTAAAGCTACAAAATTTTAAGTATTTATAGCCACCTTTCCTGTGTAAATGGAAAAAGTGTCTTTGCTCTTCCTAAAAGCCAATTCTTAATACGCTCAAGCTATTCCCTCTTGCATCATCAAATTCCCCCTCTACTGTATCATTCCTATCATCACGCAAAATGTTCGATCTCCCATTTAAAAAAAACAACAAACACACCTTTGATCACAAAGCTTCCTTTGCTACAGCACCATTCCTCTGCTTACCTTCAGAGCAAAACTTCAATATGGTTTCTATCCTATACCATTCCAGTGAAATTATTCTTGTCAAAGGTATGAATCACCTCCATAATGCCAGTCCAATGGTTATTCCTGCATATTAATCTTACTTGACTTTTTAGCATGACTTGACAGAGCTGACCATTTTGTCCTCTTTTGTCTTCCATAATACTACTCTCTGGTTTTCCTCCTAACTCACTGGACACTCTTAAGATTCTCAGGCTTCTCTGTTAGATTCTTTTCCTTTACCCCATTTCTAAATGTCAGACTGCCCTTTGGTTTTGGACCCTCTTCTCTCCCTCAGTAATGTCATTCAATCCTATAGTTTAAATGCCATTTATATGCTGACATACATTTCATATATATATTTCTAGCCACAGACTCTCTTCTAAATTCTAACTGACAATTCCATTTAGGAGTCTACCAGGAATCTAAAATTTAACATGTTCAAAACAGAATTTATATTTTAACTCCCAGCTTTCCATTTCTTAGTAAATAGCTCCAGTAGATGAAGCTAAAAACTTAGGAGTCTTACATTTAGATTGTTTGCAATAGCTTGTCTACTGTTTCAACCCCATCTGCCCTCAGCCTATCGCTTCAGTGATATTTTGAATACAAAAATCAAGACAACTCCCTAAAATCTATCAATGGCTCCTGGATTACATAATCTAAAGCAATACCAAAAAAACAAAAACACAGCAACCTCATGTGTGCAGAGTAGAACTGCTCCATAGAGTTTTGTTCAAGACTATAAACTTTTAGAAACAGATTGTGAGACTTGTCTTCCAAGGTGCTTCTGGGTGGTTTCAAACTGCCAACCTTTCCACTGGTAGTCAAGCACTTAACCATCTGCAATATACGGGGTCACTATGAGTCAGAATCTACTCAGCGGCAACTAAGAACAACAATGAAAAAAAAAAACACGTGCCATCAAGTCCTTTTTAATTCATGGTAAGCCCATGTGTTATGGACTAATACATAGGGTTTTCTTGGCTGTAATCTTTACGGAAGCAGATTGCCAGGCCTTTCTTCTGCAACATCACTAGCTGGGTTTGAACTGTCAAGTGTAAACCATTTGTACCACCCAGGGAAATTTTAGGCAGCAATATATGGAGATAAAAGAGTGAAAGCAAATAATTCTCTTGTATCAGAAAGTCTGGCCTGAGTAGCTACCTTTCTAAATTATCTTAGTAAGCAACTGAGTGGAAAGTGGGCACCAATGTTTTTTAAGTCTTCCTGAGCTTGTTCCTGTTTTTACACGTGGAGAAACCAAATCAACATGGGTCAAGACATTCATATTAACTTAAACTGCATAAATGCCATGTATGCATAAACATTTGTATTGCTGCCATACCAGTATGGAAAGAGGTTAGATTATGTAGATTCACATATTTTCTAAGTAAGAAAAACATTGATAAATACATAAGTTTTGAGTCTTATCTAGTGAGAGCACTACAGGAAACGCTTCACAAAAGTAATTCACCTCTGCTACAGCCACCACCTGTCAGTCAGTGGAAGCGTGCATGTTGCTATGATGCTGAACAGGTTTCAGCCAAGCTTCCAGACTAAGACAAACCAAGAAGAAAAGCCGGGTGATCTACTTTTGAAAATCAGTCAATGAAAACCTTATGAATCACACAGGTTGGATCTGCAACCTATCATGGTGTTATGGATTAAACTGTGTCTCCCAAAAATATATGTTGTAAATCCTAACCTCTGTCTGTGGTTATAATCCCATTTAGTAAGGGTTGTCTCTGTTACATTAATGAGACAGGATTAGGATAGGGTGTGTCTTAAATCAATTTCTTTTGAGATATAAAAGAAATTAAGCTACTGAAAGAAGAAGAGCTGGGGGAAGAGATGTCAAACCACATGAACACTCAGGAGCAGAAGCTCAGAAGAGACAAGGACCTTCCTCCAGCGAGAAAGAAAGCCTTCCCCTAGAGCCGTGCCCTGAATTCAGACTTCTAACCTTCTAAACTCAGAAGATTAGTTTGTTAAAGCCACCCACTTGTGTTATTTGTTATAGCAGCACTAGATAACTAAGACACATTGGGATGACACAGGACCAGGCAGCTTTTCATTCTGTTGCATGTGGGGTCGCCCTAAATTGGGGGCCGGCTGTATGCCAGCTAACAACACAGCAACTACCTGTAAACCACCCCTTCTTTCAGGACTCTTTATTTGGTAAACAGAAATATTATCACCCACCCAGTTACAAAAATAAACTTTAAAAAAAAAAAATGCAACAAAATATAATTATTTTCTCAAAATGCTCAGAGGCCATCCTAGACAAAAATGCAAATATATCAATTCAAGTTCAGACCACATATGTTGTTGCTGTTGTGTGCCACTCAGTTGATTCTGACTCGCAGTGACCCTATAGGATGGAGGAGAACTGCCCTGTAGGGTTTGCCAAGCTGAAATCTCTATGGAAGCAGATGGGCAGGTTAGATCACATATACCCCAAAACCAAACTCTGCCATCGAGTTGATTCCAACTCATAGCGACCCTATAGAAAAGAGTAGAACTGCCCCACAGGGTTTCCATGGAGTGGCTGGTGGATTCGATCTGCCGACCTTTTGGTTAGCAGCTTAGCTCTTAAGCACTGCGCCACCAGGGCTCCCAGATCCCATATAGATAAATCTAATTCGATATGAGTCAGAATCGACTCAAAGGCACTTAACAGCAACAATTCTTATTTATCTGCAGTTTCAACATAATAAAGCATATAGAACAAAATTTACACCTGATCTTACCTTTGTAAGATAATCCATTTTCAAATTGTCGATCATCATATTTTTCTGGGATAGTTCTATTTTCAACAACTGAATATCATGAAGTAACTCCTTCCGTTCAATTAGCTGCCTAGTGATTTTTATTTTACCGTCTCTCTCTTCTGATGAGGAAATATCATCTGTAGGTACTGTCGTTTCTAAACTAATGTCTTCAGATTCCAAAGAACTAGAGATGTTCACTTTTTTTGACTCCTTAGGAATTTTTCGAGACATCTTTATTATTATGCGTCAGTTTTCGTCTCTGAAATTCAATTTCAACCTTCCGTAGATGAAAAAAAAACATTAAATGTACTCAAACATTCACTACAGAAAACATAAAGTGATAACAAAAACATAGAGCGATACTAAGGATTTCCTAAGTAATTGTTAAGCATTTTGGGAGACCCAATATCTAGGACACGTTACTACAGTAAATGAGTGCTCATATCAAACATGTTGTTGTTAGGTGCCACGTGAGTCCATTCTGACTCATAGCGACCCTATTGTACAGAGGAAGGAGCAGCTGGTGTATTTGAACTGCCGACCCTTTGGTTAGCAGTTGAGCTCTTAACCACTACGCCACCAGGGCTCCAAGTCAAACATATACTCATTAAACCCTACTGTGAATTTGGCCCCTTTGATGAATGAAAGCCCCAGTTTCGGGCCATAGGAATCGTACCTGGAGGAAACAAAGAACTGTATGCTTGCCAAGATAAAAGACAAAGCCCTAAATCGTTCTTACCTAAGAATGCTACTAATAAAGGCAACACATGATCAAGGAAAAATCACTTCTGAGTTGGTCAGGGGAAGGTTATACAGAGATAGGACTTAAAATCTTTAAGGATTTGTATAGGCGTAGTAAAAAAAGGAAAAGCATACAGGTATTGAGGTTGCTAGAGGGGTGGTGAAAATGTAAAACAACAGCAGAAGATAGTAGTAGTCCCACTAGGGCAAAGTCTTTATGAATTTGAGTAGTGATTCCTCCCACTCCCTAAACATAAATGCACACATACAACTTTAAAGATCGTTGGGACAAGTCTGTGGAGGACCCTGAATGCCAAAGTATGTTTGGGTTTTTTTCTACAGGCAACGGGACATCAAACATTTTCATAGACTAGCCAGACAGCAGAATGAAAATAAGGTAGAAGACAAAAACTCCAGTATTCTAAGATATTTTGCAACTCCTTTGTTTTAATACTACACGATATAAAAAATTACTCGTGGTATTACAGATTTCAGTTTTCCCTAAGTCAGTGAATGATTAGAAAACAGGTGTGTGGAGGGGAAATGGTAAGAACTTCCGTAGGATTGACCACCTTCCTTTTTTCTAAAGGGAAAGGTGAAATAAAGGACAGTCAACATCTCCTGGACTACAAAGGATCGGAGACTCAAGAGAATAAGCCCCAAACTTGGAAGCATAGGATGATTCCTTGCCCCGTGCAGAAAAGGACGGAAGATCGATCGCCGCAAACTACCTCGAAAGCTTCAATTATTCCACGTCGAAAGCTTCAACAACCGCCACCGCCGCCACTTGGAGGAGGCGACAGCGTCTCCAGTCTGCAGTTCAGGTTGCAGCCCCCCAGCAAGGGCTCTCAGAGTCAGGGACCGTTAGGCCCCGTAACCAAGACAACCACTTCCGCGCCTGAAGCAGAACGGAAGAAGCGGTAGGTTGCAAAGCCCACGCTGCCGGAACTCGGCTCTCCACGGTCTACGGAGGTTCGGCAAGCAATGCATACTGGGCGCTGGAGTCCAGCGGCAGGCCCCTCCCAGATAGGGGCGGAAACGGCCCCGGGCTCCGCCCCCCCCCCCCCCATCCCAGGTTCTTCGCCTTCGCCCAATCCTCACGGACCTCCAGAGAGCCAACCAACGTTAGTCTCGACGTTTTCCCGCGAGCGTTGTTTACCAATACCCTTGAGAGAGAAGGGGTGAACTTCGGGTTGAGGTATAGTTGTGCGAGAGCTTCTCTCTTGATTTTTTTCCGGAAGAGTACTGCCGAGATTCGGGATTCCGCGCCACGAGACAAAAATGCTCAAGTCCAAGACTTTCTTAAAAAAGACGCGGGCAGGCGGCGTGATGAAGATTGTCCGCGAGCACTATCTACGGGACGATATCGGATGTGGTGCGACTGGGTGCGCAGCGTGCGGACGGGCGCATGAGGGGCCGGCTCTCGAGCTGCAGCCCCAAGACCCGGCGAGCAGTCTCTGCCCACGGCCGCACTATTTGCTTCCTGACACCAATGTGCTGCTGCACCAGGTACGTTGGTGGATGTGCGTCGGACAACGCGGCCCTACCAGGATGAGGCCACTTTACTGATGACAGATAGGAAAACTGAGGTCCAGGGAGGAGCGTTTGGGCAATATGACATGCCTAGGGAAAGGTAAAACTTAACAGGAATCACGCCTCCTGTCCTCCAGCCGAGGTTCCTTTCCTTGTGCTGTTTTTTTTTTTTTTTTTTTTAAATCCCCTTGGGTCGTAAGACGTTTAGACACGTAATATCCTAACTCCTGGTGTCTCTTCTGCCTTAGATTGTAATTGCCTGGAGGCCGGGGACCTGGGCTTCTGTAGCCTCCAGCCTGCGACCCCCAGGCAGCTTGTAAGTGCCTACGAATGAAAACGATGTGGGCCAATGTATTTCTTTATTAATGGATTCAATTCTACCAAGTTTTATAATCGCTCTGTTTACGTGTGCCCTTCTCTAAAAGACTTGAAGGCTAGAATGACCGTTGTCAGTTTTTCTATAGCAAAACTTCTCGTTGGGTTAATGCATAGTTTATGTTTTTAAGATGAATGGGTTTTATGTTTGACTAAACAGTATACGACTTAATATAGTAAAACATTAACTTTTCATTTGTTTCTTTTTAAGATCGATGTTCTTGAGGACCCTGCCATCAGGAATGTAATTGTGTTACAGACAGTTCTCCAAGAAGTGAGAAATAGGAGTGCCCCCGTTTATAAACGAATCCGAGATGTGACTAATAATCATGAGAAGCATTTCTATACATTCACTAATGAGCACCATAGGTAGGAGGAAATTCTGTTAAATTTCAGAAAACCATAAAATTAGCTAAATTTGGGGAAGGATTCCTGGGAGTAATTTGTGTAATTGTTAGAAAGTACACAGAAAAGAATGCCAAGTGAACTTCGCTGAAATCACATAGTTATTGATGAAACCAAGCCTAGAATATAGGGATGCTGGCTTCTAGGCTACAGTGGGTACTTCTAGTTCCAAAATGTTTTTTTATTTTGAATTGGTTTTAGCATAAGTTGAGCAGTAGAATCTTGGAAGATGAGATTTGCCTAGGTTCCTGGGAGTACCGTATTATGTGAATAACCATCATAGGAATAACCATATCATATTTGTGAATAACAGTTATAGGAAAATAATCATCATAGGAATAAACTGTGAGGGTAAGTTTTAAAAATATAGAGTTATGCGGGGGGGAGATAATATGAAATTCCTTGGTTAAAAAAAAAATTGTTGTGATAAACTATATATAGCAGAATGTATTGTTTGTAAATGTACAATTTAGTGGCGTTAAGCATATTCACAGCATTGTACAATTATTGCCACCATCTATTTACAAAAATTTTTCGTCACCCCAAACAACTCTGTACCCATTAAGCAGTAACTCCCTCCATCTCCAGCCCCTGGTAATCTTTAGTCTTTCTATGAGTATGTATATTCTAGATGTTTCACGTAAGTGGAATTATACAACATTTGCCCTTTTATGGCTAGCTTATTTCACTTCGCATAATGTTTTCAAGATTGTTCCATGTGGTGGCATGCGTTAGAATTTTATACGTTTTTATGGCTGAATAGTATTCTGTTGTATGTAGGTATATTTTATCCATTTAGCTGTTGATAGATACTTGGGTTGTTTCCACCTTTTGGCTGTTGTGAGTAATGCTGCAGTGAACACTGATGTGCGGGTATATGAGTACTTTCAATTCTTTTGGGTAAACACCTAGGAATGGAAAGTTATTCTTAGTGCTTTTAAAAATTAAACTGATGTCTTATAGCTAATCATATTGTAATAGATGAAATTAAGAAATAGAATTCTTTGTTGTATTTCGGGTACAAGACTCTTTGTTTAAACTTTATGTTTTTCCTACTGCTAACCAAAAAGTTGGCAGTTCGAATCCACCCGTGGCTCCTTGGAAACCCTGTGGGGCAGTTCTACTCTGTCCTGTAGGGTCACTGTGAGTCAGAATTGACTTGACAGTAATGGGTTTGGTTTTTTGTTTATTTATATTTAGCATGTTACATAAAGAATCTATGGTGGGCTCTAGGATACTTCTATGAGATTAGATTAAAGTTTCTTAACCTCGGCACTATTGATATTTTGGAATGGTATAGAATGTTTAGCACTATCCCTCACCTCTACCCACTAGACGTCTGTAGCAAACTTCCTCCCCACCCCCAGACTTGTGATAACCAAAAATATCTCCAGACTTTGCCAGATGTCCCCTGGGGGCAAAATTGCCACCCAGTTGAGAACCACTGGATTAGATTGTAGATTTCTGGTAATGACGTTCCATTGGAGTGTGGAAATTTAAAAAAATATTTACTTTCTCCAAAAATCTCTTCTTTATTCTTATGTTTCAAATATTGCTCCTGTAAAGAATATTAGTAAAGCTTTTGTAAACTTCTTGTTTCTTAGTACCTTCTTGAAATACAGAAACAGAAACTTTATTTGATTTTCAATGCAGAAAGACCATGTTTTTGTGGAAAATGATCATCAGATTCCTAATGAGGGCTTAGCAGTTTTGTTAGGTCGTTTATGGTAAATAGGACTTGGCAATACTGAAGGTGACAGGAACAATCTTGGGAGTCCCAGGCAGATCTCATCTTTCAAGATTCTATTGCTCAAGTCATGCTAAAACCATTTAAAAATGTTATAACAGTGTCTTTGATGGCCTCAAAGTGTTAGTAGGTGCATTTAATGATGAAGAATGAAATAATTCTAAAAACTATAACTAAAATTTTAAAATTGAGTATTATTTTTAAGTACTAGAAATTATTATTATATAGAATATGGTTATTGAACTTAAATCTGGTTTTGAAGAACAGATTTAATTAAGTTTCCTGACATATTTTGGATTTAGGGTGGGTAGACATAGAAGGAATATGCAATCGTATCTGTGCCTGGTCTTTCGGTCTTTAGATAGGCCCTGCCATTTATTGAATCTTACTGTGGATAGTATACATCCATTATCTTTTTAATAACTTTGGAATCATATGGTCATAATCATCGAATCGTATTACTTGTAGTTTTTAGGAATTACAGTTAGTCTGCAGTTAGAAAGTGTAATCATTATCATAATGTTTTCTTTCAACAAAGTATGACTTAATGTCCCAACCTGGAATATAAATTTTGATCTTGAATTTTTCCTTTTTTTTTTCCACTTAACAACATGATTTTCTTTTCCAAGCAAATTGTTGTTTTAAAAATGTAACTAGGAGGATCCTATTTATTTCCTCTCTGAGGTATAATTCTGAATACAGTCAAGAGAAAAATACCATGATATACCATTGATTTTTAAGTTTAGCAGTTGTTAAGCATTTATGTCCTAAAAGTTTTTAAATATCCTTGTCTATTGATTGTTTTCCTTTTATTTCATTTTTTCCTCTCTTTACATTTAGAGAAACCTATGTAGAACAAGAACAGGGAGAAAATGCTAATGACAGAAATGATAGAGCTATTCGAGTGGCAGCAAAATGGTACAATGAACATTTGAAGAAAATGTCAGCAGAAAATCAGCTGGAAGTTATCTTCATAACAAATGACAGAAAAAACAAAGAGAAAGCCATAGAGGAAGGGATACCAGCTTTCACTTGTAAGTCTAAATATAGTAGTCGTTAGTGCATGTTTGCAAATGCATATAAAACTTACCAGACTCGTGTTCAGATGTTCACTGAACTAGTATTTGCATAGTCCTGTAAAACTTTGTAAGGAGCCCCTGTAGCACACTGGTTACATGCTCAGCTGCTAACCGAAAGGTCGGTGGTTCAAACGCACCAGCCACTCCATGGGAGAAAGATGTGGCAATCTGCTTCTGTATGGGACAGTTCTGCTCTGTCCTGTAGAGTTGCTATGAGTCAGAATTGACTTGACGGCAGTGGGTTTGTTTTTTGGGGGTATAACTTCATATGACATTTTTGCACTTTTTAATTTTTCAGAGTTTCTAGGCTAAGTGAGTTCTGGTTACTTTTCTCCCCACCATTTGTATCTGACTTAGCAAGAAAAGTTCATAGATATGCTTGACCATTGCCTCTGCTTAGACATGATCACATCGATGAATTTCCCCCCACAAAAGAAAATTGACAGACATATTGTCACAAACAGGATTACCCATGTTTTTTCATATCTGAGGAGGAAAAAAAACCTCACATTTATCAAGAACAACATAAACTTATTTTTCAGGTGAAGAATATATAAAGAGCCTAACTGCTAACCCCGAACTCATAGATCGTCTTGCTTGTTTGTCTGAAGAAGGGGTATGTTTGGGTTTGTTTTACTTTCTTTTTGAAAAGTGAAAATACTAAAATAACCACTTTGAGATATTAGGCTTATAGTTACCAAGTTTAAAAATTGGAATATTGGTGGGTATTTTAGTTACCTAGTGCTGCAATAGCAAAGATACAAGTGGGTGGCTTTAAA